TGTTCTCCGTTTTCTTTGGATCACTGCACGAAAAATAACAAGAACAAACTGAACACAGAGACTAAAACACGAACAGCAGACGGACAAACTCCAGCTGAAAATTGACTTTTTATTGGAACGTTGGACTGACGACAGAACGAACCTGAAGAACTGGTGTAATAATAATAATAATCGTCCTACATGTTCATTGTTTATTTGCACTGCTGATCTGAATAAACTCAAGTTCAAAACTATATTTGAATAAGATAATGAACGTCTGAACACAATGTCACCTCAGTTTACTCTGGGTCACCTGACGTCACCTGACGTCACCTGACGTCACCTGACGTCACCTGACGTCACCTGACCGTCACCTGACACACCTGACCACGTTTATTTAGCTCCAACAATCATTACACAGAATTACTACTGCTCTGTGTCATAATACTACCATTTATTTTAGTCCTGGTTTAGTTCTGGTTTAGTTCTGGCTTAGTTCTGGTTTAGTCCTGGTTTAGTCCTGATTTAGCCCTGGTTCAGTCCTGGTTCAGTCCTGGTTCAGTCCTGGTTTAGACCTGGTTTAGACCTGGTTTAGTCCCAGTTCAGTCCTAGTTTAGACCTGGTTTAGACCTGGGTTAAACCTGGTTCAGTCCTGGTTTAGACTTGGTTCAGTTCTGGTTTAAACCTGGTTTAGTCCTGGTTCAGTCCTGGTTTAGACCTGGTTTAGTTTGAACAATCATTACACAGTTTTATTCTCGTTCTGAGTCATAATTCTATAAATTTCAAATTGACTCAACACTCGACACCACAAACATCATTATAAAAGCTTTTTTTAAGCAATATTTAAAATTTTAATCCAAAATAATCGTGTTTGTTTATGTCCATGTGCTTTTACTCTCAGTGTGTTAAAACTAAAGATGAAACTGTTCAGGAAAATTTATCCAGTTACTGTTACGGTGACACTTTTGCACATCTGTTTTTAACACATCGTTTTTATTTGTTTGTAGTGCTTTTATTCCAAATTTCCAAATTCCAATTTTAACGTAAATGTTCATATTAGCCATTTTTAAATTTGTTTTTAGCACTTTTTTTCCCCAAACACGTTACCTACATGTTCATATTAGCAGGTTTTTAAATTTGTTTTTAGCGTTTTATTCCAAACTTTTAATGTAAATGTTCATATTAGCATCTTTTTTATTTTTATTTGTTTTTAACGCTATTTTTCCCCAAACACGTTACATAAATGTTCGTATTAGAATCTTTTTTATTTGTTTTTCAAGCTTTTTCCCAAACACGTCAGGTAAATGTCATATTAGAATCTTTTTTTGTTGTTGCTTTTAGCGCTTTTTTTTTTTTTTTTTTTTTTTTAAACACGTTACATAAATGTTCATATTAGCATCTTTTATATTTGTGTTTAGCGCTTTTTTTCCAAACACGTACGTAAATGTTCGTATTAGCATTTTTTTTTTTTTTTTTTTTTTTTTTTTTTTTTTTTTTTTTTTTTTTTTTTTTAGCGCTTTTATTCCAAACTTTTAACCTAAATGCTCATATTAGCATCTTTTGTATTTGTTTTTAGCGTTTTTTATTCCAAACTCGGTGTCGCGGTTCCGTGTTCGGCGGTGACGTCCCGCACTTCACCTGTGACAGTCACCTGACGCACACGTACGTGCCTCCTCCGCGCCACAACAGCGCTGCAAAACAAATATTTATCATTTTAAACGTGTTTTGTTTCACTAGATCTTATTTCGAACCGACTGCCATTCAGAATATTTGCTTATTTAAATGTTTTTTGTCTAAATTGGGACTGAAATAAGAAAAACGAGGCCAAACCGGGACTAAACCAGGACTAAACCAGGACTAAACCAGGACTAAACCAGGACTAAACCAGGACTAGACCAAAGATAAACCGGGACTGGACCGGGACTGGACCGGGGCTGGACCGGGACAGCGGGGGCCAGAGCGGACGTGCCCGTGTTTCGAGCTCGTTTGTCCCGGTGTTGACGGCAGCATCACGCCCAGCCCCGTGGCTCCGTCCCCGGCCTTGCTCCCCGCGCCTCCCCGGGCCTTACCTCCGGCGTCTCCGGGAACAGCTCGTCCCCGTCCTCGAGCTCCTGGAAGCCGCTGTGGTCCTGCGCCATGGCCCGGGCGGTGCGCGGAGGTGCGGAGGTGCGGAGGAGGAGGAGAGGAGCGGGACCGGCGGAGGGTCTGTGGCCGAGCAGGAGCGACGGAGACGCGGCTACGGGGCTGCGCCTGCCCCGGTGTCACGTGACCAGCGCGGAGGAAGGACGGAGCACAGAGAGACTCCACTCTGCTCCGGGAACAAACAACAACAACAACTAAATTATTATGATTATTTAATTTTTAAAAAATCTTTTATTTCAATAATTCACGTGCCAATATTAACATAATAACAATTTCACTAACACAATGAAAAAAAAAAAATATATATATATATATATATATATATATATATATATATATATATATTATATATATATATATATAATATATAAATATAAATAATAATAATAATAATAATAATAATAATAATAATAATGTAAAGAAATAGACTAGGGGTGTGCAAAAATATTAAAATATCAATATATCGTTTAATGTGCTGTTACAATATTGATATTTGGGTGAAAAAATGCATCGCACACTCGGTTGGCCGATGTCCAAATACTATTTTATTAACAAAATAACGTTTCGGCAAAAAAAGCCTTCATCAGATATTTTTCTTGTCTTGGACCACAGCCCAGGTGCCCATATACCCACTCAATGAACGGGACGTCCCAAAGTGAGGTCACCCAGTGAGTTCAGCCCATTCTACAACAAGAAACAACAGTTTACATAAAAAAAACATTTTATAAAATACAGAAATAGTTTGTCTATCACAAAAAACATCTTAAATCAAACTCCACATTCAGTCCATGAGGAGTAAGAGTTTTAAGATGGTGAATCCAGAAGTGTCTCTTTTTGACAGGAGCATCTCTAGATTCCACCTCTAGGGGGCAGTTTCACATGTTCAGTGTCAATATATCTTAAGGAAGAGACAGGATGGTTCAAATCAACAAAATGAGCCGCCACAGGATAGTTCATGTTTTTACATCTGATTGTTCTCCTCTGCTCTGCAGGACGTGTTTTTAAAGCCCTGCTGGTTTTACCCACAGAAGCTTTACCCCAGGGGCAGGTGATCATATAAATCACAGACTTGGTGTTACAGGATATAATTCCTTTGATCGTTATTTCTTTACCAGTGTGAGGAGCTTAAAACTGTTGCAGCGATATGTGTAGTTAAACTGTTGTTTCTTGTTGTAGAATGGGCTGAACTCACTGGGTGACCTCACTTTGGGACGTCCCGTTCATTGAGGGGGTATATGGGCACCTGGGCTGTGGTCCAAGACAAGAAAAGTATCTGATGAAGACTTTTTTTGCCGAAACGTTATTTTGTTAATAAAATAGTATTTGGACATCGGCCAACCGAGTGTGCGATGCATTTTTTCACCCTGATCTGGCTGCTCCTTGCATTTGCACCTCTGCAGGAATCTTGGTGTGTTTTTTCTGTTTCTTTTTATACAATATTGATATTTATCAATATTTTATTTATCTGTTGAGGACGTCCAGAAGAAGCAATGCCTACAGGCTCACATCCTCCTGAAGACCTCACATCCTCCTGAAGACCTCACATCCTCCTGAAGGACCTCACATCCTCCTGAAGGACCTCACACTCCCTGAATGAAGAATGAGTTGTACAGTTGTAGGGAGTATTATCTGTTCCATAAGGGTGAGTTGTTGTTACAGTTGTAGGGAGTATTATCTGTGACATAAGAGTGAGTTGTTGTACAGTTGTAGGGAGTATTATCTGTGACATAAGAGTGAGTTGTTGTTGTCCATAGACGATCTTCGAAGCGTGTTTCAAACCGGAAGGGGCAGGTTTCAGACACGCACCTGTTTCCGGTCCGCTCCTCACGCTTATCGTAAACATTTCACTTTAACTATTTTTTTATTTTCATTTAAACTGCGGATTTTCCCCCGAAACCTGAAATAAACTCACGGAGCCGCGGAGGAGTTTCGTGGTTTTTTCGTGTTTTTTTCTGTGTTTTCAGACGGACTCATGGACGCGGTGGCGGGGCCGCTCTGGGCTCCGGGGAAAGGTGAGACTCTGCGGCCGAGTTTAGAGCTCTGTCCCCGGGAGAGAAGAACGACCAGCCCCGGGGCCGGACCTCCAGGACTAAACCAGAACTGAACCAGAACTAAACCAGGACTAAACCAGGACTAAACCAGGACTAAACCAGGACCACTAAACCAGGACTAAACCAGGTCTAAACCAGGTAAACCAGGAACTAAAACTAAACAGGACTAAACCAGGTCTAAACCAGGACTAAACCAGAACTGAACCAGAACTAAACCAGGACTAAACCAGGACTAAACCAGAAACTAAACCAGGACTAAACCAGGACTAAACCAGGTCCAGGTCTAAACTAAACCAGACTAAAAAGAAACCAGGACTAAACTAAACCAGGAACTAAACCAGGACTAAACCAGGTCTAAACCAGGTCTAAACCAGAACCAGGTAAACCAGAACTAAACCAGAACTAAACCAGGACTAAACCAGGACTAAACCAGGACTAAACCAGGACTAAACTAAACCAGGACTAAACCAGAAAACCAGGACTAAACCAGACTAAACTAAACCAGGACTAAAAAAACCAGGACTAAACCAGAACTAAACCAGGACTAAACCAGGACTAAACCAGGTCTAAACCAGGACTAAACCAGAAAAAACCAGAAAACTAAACCAGGACTAAACCAGGTAAACCAGACTAAACCAAAACTAAAACCAGAACTAAACCAGAACTAAACCAGGAACTAAACCAGAATAAACCAGAATAAACCAGGACTAAACCAGGTCTAAACCAGGACTAAACCAGAACTAAACCAGAACTAAAACCAGGACTAAACCCAGGAACTAACCGAACTAAAACCAGAACTAAACCAGAACTAAACCAGGTCTAAACCAGGACTAAACCAGGACTAAACCAGGTCTAAACCAGGACTAAACCAGAACTGAACCAGACTAAACCAGGACTAAACCAGACTAAACCAGAACTAAACCAGGACTAAACCAGGACTAAACCAGGACTAAACCAGGTAAACCAGGTCTAAACCAGGTCAGGACTAAACCAGAACTGAACCAGAACTAAACCAGAACTAAACCAGAACTAAACCAGAACTAAACCAGAATTAAACCAGGACTAAACCAGGTAAACCAGGTCTAAACCAGGACTAAACCAGAACTAAACCCAGAAAACTAAAACCAGAACTAAACCAGAAAACCAGGACTAAACCAGGAAACTAACCAGGAAACCAGAAAACCAAAAACCAGGAACTAAACCAGGAAAACCAGGTCTAAACCAGGACTAAACCAGGACTAAACCAGGACTAAACCAGGTCTAAACCAGAACCAAACCAGGTCTAAACCAGAATAAAACTAAACCAGGACTAAAACCAGGACTAAACCAGGACTAAACCAGGTCTAAACCAGGACTAAACTAAACCAGAACTAAACCAGAACTAAACCAGAATTAAACCAGAAAAACTAAACCAGGAAACTAAACCAGGTCTAACTAAACCAGGACTAAAAACCAGGACTAAACCAGGACTAAACCAGGACTAAACCAGAACTAAAACCAGGAACTAAACCAGAACTAAACCAGAACCTAAACCAGGACTAAACCAGGACTACTAAACCAGGTCTAAACCAGGTCTAAACCAGGACTAAACCAGGTCTAAACCAGGACTAAACCAGAACTAAACCAGTCTAAACCAGGACTAAACCAGACTAAACCAGACTAAACCAGGACTAAAACCAGGACTAAACCAGGTCTAAACCAGGTCTAAACCAGACTGAACCAGAACTGAACCAGAACTGAAACCAGAATTAAACCAGGACTAAACCAGGACTAAACCAGGTCTAAACCAGGACTAAACCAGGACTAGAACAAACCAGACTAAACCAGACTAAACCAGGACTAAACCAGGACTAAACCAGGACTAAACCAGGACTAAACCAGGACTCTAAACCAGGACTAAACCAGACTAAACCAGGACTAAACCAGGACTAAACCAGGTCTAAACCAGGTCTAAACCAGGACTAAACCAGGTCTAAACCAGAATTAAATCAGGACTAAACCAGGACTAAACCAGGACTGAACCAGGTTTAAACCAGAACTAAACCAGGACTAAACCAGGTCTAAACCAGGACTAAACCAGGACTAAACCAGGACTGAACCAGGACTTTTCTCTCTTCCAGGTCTTGGGTCTCGGGTCTCAGACTCTGGGACTAACACAGACCCGGACTGGGAGGACCAGGTCCGGACCATGATCCAGGTCGGGTCCAGACTGAGTCAGGACTTTAACGCCGAGAAACTGAAGCAGCAGCAGGACGAGCTGGACTTCAGCAAGAAGAAGAACGACGTGAAGAAGAGGAGGGACGAGGCGGTTCCGACAGCACCAGGTACAGGACCGGGACCGGGACTAGGACCGGGACCACAAACAGAACCAGGACCAGAACCAGGACCAGGACCAGGTACAGAACCAGGACCAGGACCAGGTACAGAACCAGGACCAGGACTACAGGGAACCAGGGACCCAGAAACCAGAACCAGGACCAGGACCAGGACCGGGACCAGGTACAGAACCAGGGAACCAGAACCAGGTACAGAACCAGGACCAGAACCAGGTACAGAACCAGGATCAGAACCACAAACAGAACCAGGACCAGGTACAGGACCACGAACAGAACCAGGACCAGGTACAGAACCAGGTACAGAACCAAGATCAGGACCACGAACAGAACCAGGACCACGAACCAGGTACAGAACCAGGACCAGGGACAGAACCAGGACCAGGGACAGAACCAGGGACAGACTCTCTAGAGACGTCGGGTTCTGGAGGTTCTGAAGACCTTTCAGAGTCCTCCATGCATGTTTGAGTCATCTAGAGATCTCTCCTGGGCTCTATTCAAACCCTCCAGACAGTTCGCTGCAGTACGAGTCTGTACGAGGCTCCGCCCACATGTTCCACTCTACAACTCTCCATAAAAACACAAAAACATGACACAACAACTGAACAACAACACGACAAACCTGATGTGACGGCGCTCTGAAGGGGGAGGGACTTAGCCCAGGGAGCAAAGGAAGGAGGGAGTCAGAGTTGAACAAACAAAAGTGTTAAAACTGTTTCTGTTTGTTCTTCTTCTTCTTCAGGTTCTTCTGGAGAAGTTGGATTCTGTTCGTGTGAAGCTGCAGCTCAACAATTCCAAAACCACCAGGAAGAACTTCCTGTCCAAGATCCAGGAAATGACATCAGAGCGAGACCGCGCCCGCCAAGAACGAGACAGGTGAGACCCCGCCCACAGACAGGCGAGACCCCGCCCACAGACAGGTGAGTCCCTGCCCACAGACAGACGAGACCCTGCCCACAGACAGGTGAGACCCCTGCCCACAGACAGGCGAGACCCTGCCCACAGACAGGCGAGACCCCGCCCACAGACAGGTGAGACCCTGCCCACAGACAGGTGAGACCCTGCCCACACAGACAGACCCTGCCCACAGACAGGCGAGACCCTGCCCACAGACAGGCGAGACCCTGCCCACAGACAGGCGAGACCCCGCCACAGACAGGTGAGACCCCGCCCACAGACAGGTGAGACCGCGCCCGCCAAGAACGAGACAGGTGAGACCCTGCCCACAGACAGGTGAGACCCTGCCCACAGAGACAGGCGAGACCCCGCCCACAGAGACAGGTGAGGCCCTGCACACAGACAGGAGCTTTTCTCTCAGAGCAGGGGGAGTTTTACAGTGACCATGATGCTAACGTGCACTTCCTGACTGTGGGGCAGTAAAGGTGGATGAGCGGGAGGGCATCTGACGTGTTCGTGTTTAGGCTGGCGGCGGAGCTGGAGGAGGCGGAGTCTCGTCTGGCGGCGCTGGAGGCGGAGCAGGGGGCGGAGCGACGTCTCTGGGACCAGGAAGTGTCGGAGCTCCGGAGCCAAACTGAGCGCGCTCAGACGGCGGCGAGAGACGCCGAGCGCCGCGCCCAACGAGACGAGAGAACGAGCGTAGAACGAGAGAGAGACGCCAACGAAGAACGAGTGGACGCCTGGCTCCAACAGGTACAAGTACTACAAGTACTACAAATACTACAAGTACTACAAATACTACAAGTACTACAAATACTACAAGTACTACAAGTACTACAAAGTACTACAAATACTACAAATACTACAAGTACTACAAGTACTACAAGTACTACAAGTACTACAAATACTACAAGTACTACAAATACTACAAATACTACAAGTACTACAAATACTACAAAGTACTACAAGTACTACAAGTACTACAAGTACTACAAGTACTACAAATACTACAAATACTACAAGTACTACAAATACTACAAATACTACAAGTACTACAAATACTACAAATACTACAAGTACTACAAAGTACTACAAATACTACAAATACTACTACAAATACTACAAAGTACTACAAATACTACAAGTACTACAAGTACTACAAGTACTACAAGTACTACAAATACTACAAATACTACAAGTACTACAAATACTACAAAGTACTACAAGTACTACAAGTACTACAAATACTACAAATACTACAAGTACTACAAGTACTACAAATACTACAAGTACTACAAGTACTACAAATACTACAAGTACTACAAGTACTACAAGTACTACAAGTACTACAAGTACTACAAATACTACAAATACTACAAATACTACAAGTACTACAAATACTACAAATATACTACAAGTACTACAAGTACTACAAATACTACAAGTACTACAAATACTACAAGTACTACAAGTACTACAAATACTACAAATACTACAAGTACTACAAATACTACAAGTACTACAAATACTACAAATATTACAAATACTACAAATACTACAAGTACTACAAGTACTACAAGTACTACAAATACTACAAAGTACTACAAATACTACAAGTACTACAAATACTACAAGTACTACAAGTACTACAAATACTACAAGTACTACAAATACTACAAGTACTACAAATACTACAAATACTACAAATACTACAAATACTACAAAATACTACAAGTACTACAAATACTACAAGTACTACAAATACTACAAATACTACAAGTACTACAAATACTACAAGTACTACAAATACTACAAATACTACAAATACTACAAGTAACACAAATACTACAAATACTACAAATATTACAAATACTACAAGTACTACAAATACTACAAGTACTACAAATACTACAAGTACTACAAATACTACAAATACTACAAATACTACAAGTACTACAAGTACTACAATACTACAGATACTACAAATACTGAACGAAGAACGAGTGGACACCTGACTCCAACAGGTACAAGTACTATTAATACTACAAGTACTACTACTACAAATACTACAAATACTGAACAACGAACAAGTGGACACCTGATTGGCTGTGTTCAGGTGGGCGTGTCCCTGTGGTTAAACCTGATTGGCTGTGTTCAGGTGGGCGTGTTCCTGAGCGGGCTGAGGGCGGAGCTTCCTCAGCGGTTCTGTCAGGAGGGGGCGCTGTGGGAGTCTCGGGAGCAGGCGGTGAAGAGGAGACAGAGCGAGACCCGGAGCCGCTTCAGCGAGCGCCTGACGCACCTGCAGCAGGGACAGCACCTGGACACCCTGCCGCCTGTGCCCCTGCCGCACCTGCCGCCTGTGCCCATGGTGAGACGGGGACTAGACCGGGGACTAAACGAGAGACTAGACCGGGGACTAGACCGGGGACTAAACGAGAGACTAGACTAGACCGGAGACTAGAAGACTAGACCAGGGACTAAACGAGAGACTAGACCGGGACTAAACGAGAGACTAGACCGGAGACTAAACGAGAGACTAGACCGGGACTAGACCAGGGACTAAACGAGAGACTAGACCGGGGACTAGACCAGGGACTAAACGAGAGACTAGACCGGGACTAGACCGTGGACTAGACCAGGGACTAAACGAGAGACTAGACCGGGACTAGATCGGAGACTAGACCAGGGACTAAACGAGAGACTAGACCGGGGACTAGACCGGGACTAGACCGGGACTAGACGACTGAACCAGAACTAAACCTAAACCAGGACTAAACCAGGACTCACTTTCTCACTTTATCTTTCTGAGTGTTTTTCTTGTTTTCCAGGCGGACTTGTTTTTTCACCGTATTATGCAAGTGACTCCTCGCCATCCGGCTCCGCCTCCTCACTCTCAGGCCCCGCCCCCTCAGGCCCCACCGCCTCAGGCCTCTCTCCCTCAGGCCCTGCCTTTGGTCTCTCCCTTCCCGCCTCCTGCCGTTCAGCCAATCAGAGCCCCCCTCCTCCCGACTCCGCCCAGACACGCCCACTTCCCCGTTCAGCCGCCGCCTCCTCAGTTTCCGGGGCAACGCCTCCTGCCGCCGTCGCATCCTCCTCCTCCGCGCTTCGCCGTGACCTCACTTCCTGTCCACACCCCGCCCCCTCGCGCGCAGACTCCTCCCCTCGCCACAGCCAGGGCCGTGACCCCGCCCCCTCCCGCCGCCGCCGTCGGGACGTTGAGCAAAATCCTGGAGAAGTTGAAGGTTCAGTTCCCGGCGCAGTCGAGCCTGGAGCTCACCAAGCTGCTGCAGCAGGTGAAGACGGACCGCGGGACCCTGGCCGGTCTGTCCATGGAGGAGGTGATCGACCGGGTCCGACTGAAGGTCGAGGCGTCCGCGCCCGCCGCCGCCGCCGCCCCGAAAGCCCTGCCTCGTGTGTCAGAAACCCGTCGACCCCGGGGCCAAGTTTGAGCTGAACTGTGTCCACACGGTGCATAAAGAATGTATCCAAGTGTGGCTCAAGTCCAGCAAGAGCAACACCTGCCCCTTCTGCCCCAGCAAGAACTGACCCGGGACTCACCCGGGACTGACCCGGGACTGACCCGGAACTCACCCGGGACTGACCCGGGACTCACCCGGAACTCACCCGGGACTGACCCGGGACTGACCCGGAACTCACCCGGGACTGACCCGGGACTCACCCGGACTCACCCGGGACTGACCAGGGACTGACCCGGGACTGACCCGGGACTGACCAGGGACTGACCCGGACCCGGGACTGACCCGGGACTGACCAGGGACTGACCAGGGACTCCCGGAACTCACCCGGGACTGACTCACCGGGACTGACACCCGGGACTGACCCGGGACTGACCAGGGACTCACTGACCCGGAACTCACCCGGGACTGACCCGGGACTGACCCGGGACTGACCAGGGACTGACCCGGGACTGACCCGGGACTCACTGACCCGGGACTCACCCGGGACTGACCCGGGACTGGGACTCACCCGGGACTGACCCGGGACTCACCCGGGACTCACCCGGAACTCACCCGGGACTGACCCGGGACTCACCCGGGACTCACCCGGGACTGACCAGGGACTGACCCGGGACTCACCCGGGACTCACCCGGGACTGACCCGGAACTCACCCGGGACTGACCCGGGACTGACCCAGGGACTGACCCGGGACTCACCCGGAACTCACCCGGGACTGACCCGGGACTGACCAGGGACTGACCCGGGAACTCACCCGGGACTGACCCGGGACTGACCAGGGACTGACCCGGGACTCACCCGGGACTGACCCGGGACTGACCAGGGACTGACCGGGACTGACCCGGGACTCACCCGGGACTGACCCGGGACTGACCCGGGACTGACCAGGGACTGACCCGGGACTCACCCGGGACTGACCAGGGACTCACCCGGAACTGACCCGGGACTGACCAGGGACTCACCCGGAACTGACCAGGGACTGACCCGGAACTCACCAGGGACTCACCGGGGACTGACCGGGGACTGACCCGGGACTGACCCGGGACTGACCCGGGAACTCACCCGGGACTGACCCGGGACTGACCCGGGACTCACCCGGGACTCACCCGGGACTCACCCGGAACTCACCCGGGACTGACCCGGGACTGACCAGGGACTGACCAGGGACTGACCAGGGACTGACCTGGAACTTGAACCAAAGACTGGTGCTGCCGATCGATTGGTCGATTAAAAAGTGGGCGTGGTAAAAGTCAAAGTGTCCAGACTCTTCTGTATGTGACGCTCGACTCGTCCTGCAGGAGGCGCTCCTCTAAAACTGATGTTTATGCAGGAAACAGGACGAGGTGTTTCTCTAAAGACAGAAGAAACTGTGACTCGTGAGTTTGAGGCCTGGACACGTGTGTTTTAATCTAGACGAGTGTAAAAAGTGCCTTGTTTGTTGTTGTTCTGGACACTGAGCGTAAACACGAGTCAGAACATCAGCACAGAGCAGCTGCAGTAGTTTCTGTTCGTTCATCGTGAGCTCAGTGTCCTGGAGCAGATCTGTGCCCCCGGAGCCGTAAACACTGACGTGTGTTTAAGGCTCCACTTTTACAGAAAAATACCAAATGTTCAGCTCCACTCTGGTTTATTCTGCTGCTGCCCACAGAAACACTGATCACACTTAGACACATGTCGGTTCCATATTGTTTTATTAATCGAATCCAGGCTCAAAACTGCCCCACATCTGCCCCACATCTGCCCCTGGTTTTTGCCCCTGGTTTTTGTGGTTTTTGCCCCTGGTTTTTGTCCCTGGTTTTTGTCCTGGGGAAAACCTGTGTCTTTGTTTTATTTTCTTGTTTTAAATTAAATCAAATGTTGGTTTTACACTTTTGTTGAAAATGCCAAAACAATCACAACTGTTCTTTTAAAGCTGCAGTGTGTAACTTTTCCTTTGTCTCGTCTCCATGGAGATGTTGTTGCCTGTAATGTTCCACCGTCTGCATTAAAGGAGGATTCTGTAAAAATGGACTTTTCAGAGTTTTCTCTCGTGTTCTAATGTTCCTCGTCACAAACGTGGACTGACCAGGTTCTAGAGTCGTCTGCAGTGTTGAGGAGTAACAGATTACAAGTACCGGAGTAATCAGAGTACAAATGATGAGTAACTGTATTCAGTTACAGTTACTGTTTCAGTGAGTGGTAATTGGATTACAGTTACTTTGTTGGAATAAATGGATTACACAGAGGGATTTTACTGTTTTCACATTTTGGGCTAAATCCTGCTTTTTTTTTTTTTGTGCTTATTCCACTCATTGCTGGAAACAAAACCAGGTCTAAAACGGGTCTAAACTCTTGGGCAACTTTTCCTCTGGATGGTGGTTTCAGATTTTTACATTTTTAAAAGTTCCATCTGATGTAAAATAACTCTTTCCACATTGTGTCTTCTGCACAGTTTGGGTTTTGGAACATCCATGACACAATAGTTCTGAAATCTTCCTGATTTCTTGGAGACGTCACAGACCAGGAACTATGAAAGTTCGACTATTGCTCCTCCCCCCGCCCGTCCTGAGAAAGCACAGGCTCCGCCCTCCAAACGTGACGTAGACTCTGAGTGAGTCGCCCTTCCTCCGCCGTCTCAGGGAGGGAGGGGGAGACAGACGTGACCCTGACAGCAGCAGGAATAAACTTTTATTCATCATGGAGACACAGCGCGTTCAGCCGCATGTGTTGGACCTGGAATCGGACGAGGACTTTGAGGAGCACGAAGCTCAAGCACCACGTCCACATCAACTGAACATTACTGACTGGTAAAGTTTTAATAAACACTAGGAAATAAACTTATTATATGGTGTAACTGCAGTTGGGACAGAGGCGGGGGAGGGGGGAGGGGGGAGGGCTCTTGTAGCAGCTTTAGTTCGTTGTCACGTGGGAAGGTGACAGAAATACGCTGAAATTTGTTTTAAAAAATGCCAAATCAATCTAAAAAACACTTCAGCGACAAACACAAGGCCCACACATCACTCTGAGAAGGTAGAAAGATCTGAAAAGTTGATTTTGCAGGAGATGGGCCCTTTAAGCCCCAAAAACGTCGTCACCGTCTAAATGAAAGACACTTCCCATCAAATATTTTGTGGTTTTTACCTCCGTGTTCTCGTGTAAACAGACTCTGAGTGCAGAAATTTCTCAAATAAATGGAAAATGACACATGTTGGTCTGTGGAACTGTGCATCTGTCGTTAGTTTTATTTTCAGTTTTATTTGAGTCCAAATGTCCAAATCCAAATGGAGATGCAGAAGTGCTGTGTCTCTGTGCCCTGGACCTGACTCCGGCTGTTTCCACGACCTGCACCAGTCGAGTCGGTCTGATTCATGAGCTGGTTTCACTTGGTGTAAACCGTGTGACCTGCAGCATTAGGATTCGTTCACTTGACAGTTTTTTATTGAACCAATCGCTGCTGTTTGGTCGTGACGTCTGTAATGCTCCAAATCAGAGGTGCTCAATACGTCGATCGTGATCTACCAGTCGATCGTCGAGGTCGTGTGGGTAAATCGCTGATAAAGTGTGAACACTCCTGGCCTAAATCCTCTTGGATCTGGGGAATCGTCGCCAACACAGAATGTCTGTCTCTTCTCTGATTGGCTGGAGCCCGAACTCACACTTCTGGAGTTTTTATAAATCGTCGAGTGTTTTCTGATTCTGATCTGGAACTGGAGAGAAATGAAACTGAGTCTTTTCTCTGTCTTTTTGTTTTGAGGCAATAAGGACATTTTTTGTTTTACTTACACACTTGATAATTTGCCCGTTTGTAGTTCAGGCCTGAAATTAAACTTTTTCATGTTCAAAAACTTGTTTGTACATGTTTGTGCAGTTGTAACCCAGGTTAATATAGACAAATGTGGTCAATAGCGAATATTCCAACGGCGACGAGTCACTAAACGCGTCATGCGCACGCTTGCACTTTCATTAAGTCACCTGTTCCCCTCCCTCCAATCACACCCAGGAGTGAGGCGAGACAGGACGGCTGCACAGGTGTGGAGCCACCATCACAAATTTTCTGATTTTTTTAACATCGGTTGTTCGCAAACTTATGCTTATTATGCAACGTTTCAGGAGCCCTTACCGCTAATATCGATGCCGAAAAGACCAAATTAAATGATAGCACAAAGGAATTGGTGAGTCTGTCTGTTTTGGTTGTTGCCGCTAGCATGCCAATAGCCCCCACCGCTAACTTGTTTATGTATGGCAGGCTATTGTTATGCTAATATCATTTACTGTTCATGTATTGGAATGTCATTTTACTTATTGTGTGCACTGAACAATTGTGTACATATGAATTAAGCTAGCAGATACATTATTAATCAGAGTTACCGATAGCTATGGCTAATAGCTAATCAGCCGAACTGTATTTTATTAAGACTGGTGCTGTTATTTATCACAGACCAGGTGATTGAGGTTGAGAAAACCATCCCGATGACGAGCTGAACCCAGGAACTTTGAATTCAACAAAAGACACTTCAACAGCTTCTACGGTCGGGTTAGGGGCTGTTGCAGCCAGTCCAGTCCCGCATCACACCTACTCAACCCGTGTTTGGACAATTACACGCACACACCCTGAAGGACTATATGTACACTTCTACACGAAGTGCGGACATTAAATTTCACCCTTTGGTTTTTGACAATGATAAAGGACATTAACAAAGTGACTTGTCCACCGCTCCTGTTTCCTATTGTTCACTTGTATTAACCAAACGTGAGGAAATCTGAAGAGCATTGTAAATATTGTAAATATTATATATATATATATATATATTTCACTATTCGATATAAAATACCAACCATATCTCTGTAGTTTGTTGTGCTTTTTACTGTTTCCCTACCTCCCAGAGAGCCACAGCCTTCTGTTTTCTAGCCCTGTACCTACACCAACTCCACCCCTTTGTCCCTTGCATACACCTGTTTGATATGCTACACTGTGTTGGGAAGTTTACTTTTAAAATGTAATCCCCTACAGATTACAGATTACACACCCCAAAATGTAGTTTGTAACTTAATCCATTAAATTACTTAAAGTGAGTAATGTAATCTGATTACTTTGGATTATTTGATTTGTTGTAGAGAAGCAAAGACTAGGATGGTTTAGACCTGGTTTTAGTCCTGGTTTAGTCCTGGTTTTAGTCCTGGTTTAGTCCTGGTTTAGTCCTGGTTTAGACCTGGTTTAGTTTCCGGCAATGAGTGGAATTACCCCCCCCCCC